GGGATTTTGGGGAAGAGTAGTGAGCCAATGTGGGTGTTCAGGGTGGGTTTCCACAGCGGCAGGGAATAGGTCCAAGAAAGAAAGATTTCTTTGCCAAGTACCCCTCATGGAACTCTCTCCAAGTATCCAGTATCAGGTGGCAGGTCCTTGGAGACTGTCCAGGTTAGGGTATGGAATCAAGGATGGATAGGGGGCTTTGAGTCTTTCCAAATACACTCTAAATGTTGCTCACATTTGTGAGAGTCCGGGGCGGGATTCTCCATTAGACGCACCAAGAGGTCCAGGACTTGGAACTGGTTAGGGATCAATGGTGCACGTGGGAACATGAGACCAGAGAGGAGTTTTTTTGCCCAACTTCCCCTAGCCCACTGGAGGCAAAACGTGAGGGTCCTGGCACTCCTATATTTGCTCCCTGGGTCAGCTGTGGTCTCAGTCTTGCCACCATGCTAACATTGGGGAAGAATGTTCTCTGATCGCAGTCTCTTCTGCATACCCAGGACAGTTTTGACCCTGGATGCCCAGTGATGTAGACCTAGTTGCCCTTAACCTTGCCCCTAGGCCTGCAGCTGCCTTGTCCCCACCTTACCAGGCAAACCAGGGGGATTACCTCATGAGTGGCTGCCTAGTTCCCTCTGTGTGTGTATGTATGTGCGTGTGTGTGTGCGTGCATGTGTGTGTGTGTATGTATGTGCATGTGTGTGTGCATGCATGTGTGTGTGTGTGTGGGCAAATGTGTACATGTGTGCATGTGCCCACCCATGCCTGCGTTGTATGTCTGCTTTCAGGTGCAGCACCCATGCACTTGCCCCTGTGTCTTATAGAGCATGCTGGCCCCTGGAGCCCTCTCTGGTGGGCCCCTACCTTGGCTCTGTCCTTGAGTTTCCCACAGTTCCTGGCTTGAATCCCAGCATGAAAGGGGCCATAAGATTATTTCTATGACAATCTAGCATTCCATCAGAATCTCAGCCTTGCTGCTTTCCAGCTTTGTGACTCTGAGCAGTTCCCTCAACCTTTATTGCCTTTGCCACAAATAGGCATGATGATAATCCCTGTTTTTATCTAACTAATATTTTCTAAGTGCCTACTGTGTACCAAGTATAGTCCCCACCATCACTGAACTTACATCCTAGTACAGAGACGGGCAGGGAATCAGTAAACACATAGAAAAGAGAGCTTCAGTTCTGCTGAGTTTATGGTGCTCCATGGAGGAGTGTGATGGAGTGCCAGGGGTCAGACTGTGCCTTTCTCAGGAGGCAGTGTTGGAGTTGAGCCCTGAGTGGCAGAAGAGGCTCTTTTAAAGGTCTAGGGAAAGAGCATTCTAGGCCAAGGGTATAGCTAGTGCAAAGGCCCTGAGGTGGGAATGCACTCAGGGAGCAGAAAGAAGGCCATTGGGGCTGATGTGGGAGAGCATGAGGATTGGTAGAGGGCAGCAGAACCAGCTCCTGCAGGACCTTTTCAGGCCATGCTGGGGAGACTGGATTCTAATCTAAGGGAGATCATTAGAGGACTATGAGGAGGGAGGGAGGTTTGTGTTTTTGTAGCTCCCTCCAGCTGCCACAGGGAGAGTGGGGAGGGGAACAGAGTTACTCAGGAGAGCTGAGACCCAGGAAGTGCTTGTCGGCACTCAGCCCTGGCAGCTGTCAGGGCCAGGGTTCCACTATCATCACGGGACCCATCTCAACTGGTGCTGAAAAGAGGCTGCCAAGCCCAAGGTCATTCCAAGGGCTGAGGCTAGTGGGAGCCCCTGCCTGGAGAGGGGCTTGGATCAGACCAACAGAGGCTGCAGGGGATCTTGGCCAATGCCAGCCTGTCATTTGAAGGCGTCTCCGTGGGATGGGTGCCCAGTGGCCCAGCTGCACCCACTCCCCTGCTCTCTCCAGCAGGGCTGGAGGTGGGAAGGGCCACTGCTTTGGGCCAAATCTCTTGGTTGAGGGTTTGGGCCCTTGATCTCCTGGGAGGGTTTGATGGGGGGCCTGGGAAACTGGGGGCTTATTCCACATCTCCAGCCCATCTAGCTGCAGAAGGAGGCTACTCCTGGGTTCTAGAGACAGCTACTCTGTGGACCTCAGGCAAAACCTTTCTGGGTTCTGTGCCTCAGCCTTCCTCATTTGTCAAATATGGTGGTAAAAAGGATGGAGCACGGCTACCTTTCATCCTCAACCTTGTAGTGAGTTTGCCCTTCCTTGGACCTCAGCTCTCTCAGCGTTTGTGATGTTAAGCTTCTCATTGGCCCTGAGGGTGAACTGAGGTGATGCCCCCCGCTCTGTAGATGGGTTCACAAAGGCCAGAGGGAGACATGATGAGTCCCAGGGCACATAGTGGTTCAAAGTGAGGGCGTGGGGCATCATTTTACACCTCTGCCCTAAAACCTCCCCTCTGTGCTGCCCTCCCTTGGGCTCAGCAAGACAGGGGGTTCTGGCTCAGCTATTTCTGGGCTCAGCTGGTCCATGCCCAGGCAGGGATTCTGGGCCCCCCGCCCAGAGTAGAGCTCAATGCTGCCCCTTGTCTGCCCACCCCCACGAACCAAGGACATGGCCCAGTGCCTGGTGTTGGCAGGACCTCCATCCCACTCCCAGCTAAAGGAGGACATGGCAGGGCAGGTAGGGCTGGAGCCAGCCTGAGGCAGCTGCTGGAAGTTGGGGGTGGGATGGAGGGGTCTCCCAAGAGGTCCTCAATCTGTCCACAGTTCTGGCTTTGGTGCTGGTGTAGGCTGAGCATCAAGCGAAGCTGGTGATACTCTTATATGTAGGGTTTCACAGAGGTTTAGTCAGAGCCCTGACTCAAGGTGGGGGTGCTCAGCCTCTAGGTATGTGTCGGGGAGCTTGAATCATCCTGGTGAAGTTGGGTTGAAACACTGTGCCCCAGAGCAAATGCTCATCCAGGTCCCTGGGCTAGAAAGCAGATCAGAGGAATAGAACTCGCAGCAGGCCAGTAGCTCCTCTTCTTTTTCCTTTCTAAACGATCCCCCTACCCCGCAACCAGAAGTCTCAGTTGAGGAGGTGACTTCTTGTTTTTCCTCCTCTGAGAATATAACCAGAGGGAACAGATTGAAATAGCAACTACAGCAGCAGGGATTTAGGGCAGCCCAGAAAGAATTCCTCACTCAGGGCTGGACTTCTAGAGGTCCCTGATGTCCTAGGATCAGGGCCCAGATACTCTACAGCATGGCTCTTCAGATGTTTAAAAGTCTGTGGGCTTTTTTTTTTTTTTTTTTTTTAAGTAAGAATCCCTCTTATGCTGTCATCAGAACTCTAGGAGGTGAGGGCCAGCGTAAATCGGCGGGGGTCCCAGGTCTGTCAGTTCTGTTCTCTTCTATTTCACTCAGTATTTGAAAACCGAAGTTAAATAACCTTAACTGGACTCTGGTGGCCAAGCTCCCCTCAAGGGCCCAGAATTCCTGAGAATTGGACCCACTTTCCTCCCCAGACTCTTGTTCTCTAGGTGGGACTTTTCTCCTGGAGCCTATCCCAGTGTTCCCACACTTGCCTTATTATAAGAATCACAGAGGATGATAACCCTCCCTTGTAGCTTCTGGTTTGGGAGGTCTGCAGTACAGCCTGGTAATCTGCATTGTACCAAGTTCCTCAGGTGGTGTTTATGACCAGGCAAGTGTAGGAAGCTTGGGCCTCACTTACATCCCTGTTGTTGGCCCTGCAGCTCATTCTGCTGCATCCCAGAAGGCTGGCCAGTTCCTCTCGTGCACCCTCTCCTGAACCCCCAGCACCCCTCTCCAGAGCAGAGTGGTGGCCAAGGCCCAGGAAGGGGAGGAAAGAAGTGGCCCAGCCAGAACTGGGAGAAGCCCCAATTCCCACTTCTCTCCAGGGCATTTGGAGGGGCTGGTCTGGGTCCCCACTAGCAGAGGCCACTTGGAGAGGGAGTTAGCTTAGCTTAGGTAGGGCCAGGGGCAGACAGGGGAGAAGGGGAGAGCCAGAACACAGCCCATTGCACAGTACATCTGGAATTAGGTTGGGCAGGAAGCCTTTGGGAAATGTGGGCTGGTCCCAATCCATTTGAGACAGCGGAGGTGAAGATGGTGGGAAATGCATCTCCTCATTTTACAGTAGAGAAACAGACCCAGAGGGGAGTGGGGCTGGCCTGGGCAGGCCAGTGAGGAGGCCTGACCTGGACTCACATGAGGTCACACAGAGAGTTGGGCAGAGCAGGGCCTGACTCCCCAGAGTGCCACTTGGCAGCCTCTTCATGAGTCCCTCCTCGCAGCTGGGCGAGCTCTGAAGGGGGCTCGGGGGTGGAGGGGAACCCAGGTCTCCTCCTTCCTCCCAGACAGCTGGGGCTTTGGGCACTGGGTGTGGTGGAGGCAGCCTGGGCTCTCTGTGAGGCTCCCGGGCGGTGCTACCCGCCCAGCACCCTGGACAGCGCCCCACTCTGGTCCATTCCTAGCCGTCTCCAGGCTTCACTTTGCTTTCTGGGGTGGGCCCTGCTCTGATCAGGCTGCATCTGTTGGCTTCCTTGCCTCCTCTCTTAACTCCTCCTTGAAGATAGTCTTCCAGCCCAGTTCCCTCCATTAACCACAAAGGTAAGGTTCACTCATCTCTGGTTCCTGGAGCCAGGGCAAGAATGTGGGAAGAGGCTAGGGGACCGGTGGCTGTCAGCCTGTGGTTTGTCTCCATCACTGACTAGTGGGAATGGAAGGGGGCCCTGCTGGAACCTTCTCCACTTCCTTCCCACCTGGATGTTCCTAAGAGGGCGTTGGTGAACTCTGGCAGGCACAGGAGAGACATAAGAGGTAACAGGAATGGTAGAACCTGGGGCACAATGGGCTGGCCAGGGTCAAAGGTGAGGTGAGGTGGCTGCTTGGGCAGGGCAGTGAGGGGACCGCGGCCCAAATCTATATTCCAGCCCGAAGGCCCCCAAGGGGACTGTCTTGGCCATCTCCCACTCTCGGGCAGGCTGCTCTGCCACTGGTTCTGCTGGACTTTAGGCACCCCCTAGCCCCAGCCCCAGCCCTGTCTGACCAGCCTTTCCTCTCTCCTTGCTGCCAGGTCTAGAGGAGTCCCAGGAGCAGCCAGGACGGGCAGAAGCAGTGGCTGCCATGGAGGAGGACAAGCTTTTATCTACAGTGCCTGAGGAAGGCGATGCTGCCTGTGACCCCAGCCTGGAGCCTGAGGAGGAGCCAGGGGTCCAGAATGGAATAGCCAGTGAGGGCCTGAACAGCAGCCTCTGCAGCCCAGGGGACGAGCGAAGGGGCACCTCAGCGGACACTGAGGATCCCACGAAGGACCCAGCTGTGGCCTTCCATGGCCTCAGCCTTGGCCTCTCCCTCACCAATGGCCTAGCCCTGGAGCCAGACTTGAACATTCTGGAAGATTCAACAGAGTCCAGGCCCTGGAGGGCTGGCAGGCTCGCAGAGGGGGATGATGCTTCCAGGAGCCTCTGTCCAGATGCTGAGGACCCTCAGCTGGGGTAAGTGGGTGTCTTGGGATGGGAACTCGCCACATTTGGCTGCTCTGTTACTGTGCGGCTTGGGTCTAGCCACTTAGTCTCTCTGGTTCTTGTTTTTCTCTCAAATAAAATGGGGATTTCCTATCCCTCTTTTGCCCAGATTCTGGGTGTTTTGAAGGGACAGAGCCGGGAGAGAGAATTCAAAGTCCAGCAGACTACGGGGCTGAAGGTTGTGCCCCCCCACACCTTCAGCCCCTCGAGCCATCGTGAGCTGCTTCTATGTGGGTTGGTGTTGGGGGGCTGCTGCCCTCCCTCCATCCCAGGCTGGACATTCAAATTCCAAATCCTTTTAAAATGCCCGATGTGAAAATTCGTCTGGTTCATTCCTCTGCTTCCTGGAAATGAGAATCTCCCAAATCCTGCAACTGACTCCAGGAAAGGAGGCTATGGACTTTAATTCCTCTCAGCTACTCTCACCTGCAGTAATCATCCGGAAGTTCTATCAGGGATCTCACTTCAGTCCTGCAGTTACAGCCCAATTTCTGTTGTCCTCAGCAGGCGGTGGAGAGACCTAGAGTTTTGGGGGTGTGTTGGACAAGCAGGGTGGGGAAGGGACAGAGAAATGTCTAGAAGGCACCAGGGTGGGCTGAGAAAAGAAGGCATTTAGAAGTCTTAGCATGCATAGCCACAGGCTCTGGCCTGAACAGGCAGTGTGTGGGAGGCGTGTGAGTGTGCATGGGGGGCATGCATGGGTGCCTGCCCTGAACATTGTGTGTGCACAGGCGTGTGTGAACATGTTGGTATGCATGGGGCTGGTGGCTGTGGGTGGAGGGTGTTGGTGCCCTTGGCCTGGTCATTTGTGGCTGCACATTTGGGGGCATGTTATGTGTTATGTAGGGATACATGTCTCTAGATCCCTGGGCAGGAGTATGAGTATGTGGGTTTGGGTGTCTGTGGCACTGGATGTGGCGTGGCCATCAGAGTGTTTCCATCCAGGCAGGGCCTAGGGCAGCCCCATGGCTGGCAGTGGGGCGGGGGCAGGGGACTGGGGCTTCTTGGAGCCCACCATATTGAGGTGGCATTTTTACTTGGGATGGAGAGGCTGGGGGCAGTTGGATGCTTGGAGATTGGGTTGATGGTCTTCAAGCTCCCATCAGGCCACCCCTCAGGCCTGCTCAGTTGCATGAAGGGGCTGGAGATGGGGGTTCCACCGGTGGCTCTGACACTGAGCTGAGAGCTCCTCACAGGCAGGGCTCTATCTTGTTTGGATATCTCTAGTGCCCAGAACAGGCCTGGCAGAGGTGTTTTTACTGGGCTGACTTTGGTATTTGCCCTGGTGGCCAGGACAAGGAAATTTCTTCCCTCTTCTCTCCTTCTGGAGGTCAGTAGAGGAAACTTCCACCCCAGCCCCTGCCAGGCATTCTGCGCCTTTTAGATTTTTGCCCCCCTCCCCACTTTGTTCCTTGGCAAGAGAGAGCCTAATGAGGCTTCAGTCTCAGCTCCTGCTGGGGCTGGGTGGGAGTGCCTTCTCCAGGAAGCACACTGGGATGGAATCTTAGGCACCAGGGGGCCAAGGAGATGTTTGAGGGGAAGGGGCACTTCCCAGTCCTCCAAATACAGCTCAGTCTCCGCTAGGCAGCAGGGGCTGGGGGAAAGTAGGGCGTGGCCAGAGCCTCAGGGGAGAATGATGGAGAGGGAGGGGTGTGCTTCCTTGCATGTGATGGGCCTCAATTGATCTGAAATGGGCCGGGCTGGCCTGCTGTGTTCTTTCCTGGTGTGGCTTCCTCTTACTGGCTCTATCTTCCACCTCTATCCTTGTCTGTCTAGCTCTGTCTTTATCTCTCTCCCCGTCCCTGTTGTCCTCTTCCTCTGTCTCTTTCTTGCCCCATCTCTTGGTCTTGCTCCTCAGTCTGTCTCTCCTTCCTTCTCTGTGTACCTGTTCATCTCGCTGGTGGATAAGAATCTTCCCAGCCTCCTCAGTTCATCTATGTGCAATGTTCTCTTCCAGGTGCTAGAGATGAAACATACAAAAACCTTTGCTCTCATGAAGCTTACGGTCTAGTGGGGAGACAGACAATAAATATTAAAATAATAAATAATTACATAGTAAGTTGGAAGGAGATAAGTGCTTTGGGAAAAAAATAGGAAAAAAGGGACTGTGGTGTTTGGAGACAGGGCACAGTTTAGGTCAGGAGGTCAGGTCAGGCCTCGCTGAGAAAGGGATGTAGAAGGAGGGCGTTAGCTGGGGAAGAACTTTGGGCAGAGGGAACAGCCAGTACAAAGGCCTCTTTTGGGGGACAGCACAGGGTCCTGCAAGGGCTTGGGAAGTGTGGGTGGGGCCATGGGGCTGACAAGCATATGTTCATTTACCCAGTTTATCATTCAGCCAGATGTTCCGAGCACCTACTGTGTGTGGGGTACTCCCTGGCTTCACAAAGCTTTTGTTCTGGGGCTGGGGAACAGATAGTAAACAGGGGAACAGACAGAATCTTACATGACAGGAAGGTCTGGGGAGTAAATTAAGAGATCCTGGAGCAGGAGGCCAGTGTGCTGTGGGCCTGCCTCCCCTGGTCTCTCTGAGAGGGTAGCACTGAGGCCAGACTTGACAGCTGGGATGTGTTTGGGAAGAGCAAAATTATGACCCTGTGTGACACTGGTTGTTACAGGAAGATGTTCACAATGCTCTGGGAGCCTGGAGGAAGCAGTCCCCTAGGCTGGGCTGGGGGACAAGGTCTTACATTCATTCATTCAGACACATATCTGATGCCCACTATGGCCCTGGCCCCAGGCCTGCTTTTTTCCCTACGGAATTCCCAGTACCCAGCCCGGTGTCTGACACCTTGTGCTCAGTCAGTATTGGCTGAAGGGATAAGTGAACAGGATGGGGGATGTTGTGCCCCCAGGGGCCTCCCAGACACAGATCAGTGTAGTCACCAGTACTCGTATGGGGGACATCTTGGCAGGATGGTGACTGGCTTCTTGCATCCCACAGGTTGGATGGTTCCGGGGAGCCAGATGTGCGGGATGGCTTCAGTGCCACGTTTGAGAAGATTCTGGAGTCAGAGCTGCTGCGGGGCACCCAGTACAGCAGCCTTGACTCCCTAGACGGGCTGAGCCTCACGGATGAAAGTGACAGCTGCGTCAGCTTCGAGGCCCCCCTCACGCCCCTCATCCAGCAGCGGGCCCGTGACAGCCCCGAGCCAGGGGCTGGGCTGGGCATTGGGGACATGGGGTTTGAGGGGGACATGGGGGCAGCTGGTGGTGATGGGGAGCTGGGCAGCCCTCTGAGGCGCTCCATCTCCAGCAGCCGCTCAGAGAATGTCCTGAGCCGCCTGTCTCTCATGACCATGCCCAATGGATTCCATGAAGATGGCCCCCAGGGCCCAGTGGGGGACGAGGATGATGATGAGGAGGACACAGACAAGTTGCTGAACTCAGCCAGGTGAGGCAGGGCCCAGGCTGGGAGCTGGGAGAACCACTGAACAGTTGGGGAAACTGAGACCCAGAAGAGGCAAAGCAAGTTAGGGTGACTCAGTGTCCAGAGTCAGTACGCCCTCTTCAAGGCCACCTGGCCTACCGTCTGTATCCAGACTTCCCACCCTGTGTCCTGAGGTTTCATTCTGCTCTTCCAGGCCTTCTCAGCCCCGGTAGAAGTTGGGGGGAGTCAGGGAGCTGTGCTGTGAGTTCACGTGAGAGGCTCTTCCGAAAGTCTGATTCATTCCCTCCTGCTGCAGTGGAGCTTCTTTCCCTTTTCTGGCCTCTGCATGGTTTGCAGAGGCCTGAGGAACCTCCCCGCCTCCCCAGGGCCTTTGACCCTACTCCTCCACCCACCTTCCATCTGCAGTGACCCCAGCCTGAAGGACGGCCTGTCAGACTCAGACTCTGAGCTCAGCAGCTCGGAGGGGTTGGAGCCTGGTAGCGCAGACCCGCTGGCCAACGGGTGCCAGGGGGTTAGTGAAGCTGCTCGCCGGCTGGCACGCCGCCTCTATCACCTCGAGGGCTTTCAGCGCTGCGATGTGGCCCGACAGCTGGGCAAGAAGTGAGTGTGGTCTCCCCCGCCCCCAACCCAGGCAAACCTCGTGTCTTTCTCAGCCTGAAGGAGGTGTAGGTGACCTCCTTCAGGGGTACCTGGTGCTGGGGGGGGTGCTCCCAACAGTTCCCCAAGGACACCTCCTCCTGCCACTGTCCTCATTCCTGGCCTCGGCCTAAATCTGTTTCCTTTCTGGGCTGCTTGGGTGAGGCTGATGCTCTCAGGGAGGGGTGGTGGCGGCCGGCCCCTCAGGGCTGGGGGTGCGGGATGTGGGATGTGGTTATGGGGTCACAGTGGATGTGAGGACAGAGAAGCCGGCAGGAGCTGGGACTAGCTAATGGGGCCAGAGAGGAGAACCTGGGCCTCAAGGGACACCTGTGGGACTCAGAGCTCAGGAAAAGGCTCTTGGCCCTCATTGAGCCTCACTGTTTATCGAAACCAGCTGAAGGAGCTGAAGACCCCAAAGCACACACTCCGGCCTTTAGACTGGTGCAAAGGGAACTGGCTAGATGAGGGTCCCAAAGGGAACCAGGGGACAGGCAGGACTGCAGGACTGAGGGAGTCCGCCGACACATCCTTGTGCACATCTGATCGCTGGTGTGTCCACCTGCCACCTGCCATGGCCCTTTCACCCGGAGTGCCTCCCAGTGTCCACATTGAGGCTCTCAGCTGTGCAGGAGCAGGTCTGGCCCCACAGCGCTGCTCACGGGGCTGGGAGACAGTCCAGACTCTTGTCCATGAATAGGAGCAGAGCTGACGTGCAGGCTTCAGGCCTCCCGGAGCCCTGATGGCAGCTCAGGTCCTGGATCCCCCTCTTTTCCCTCCTGCCTCCTCCACCCTCTGCAGCCTCCATGCTGCTCCTGCACAGGGTCCCTGACAACTGCTCCAGCCCAGAAATCACAACTCAGATGCCCTCATCTCTCCTGCTGGGCTGGACCTCCAGACCTATTGCCAACCTTTCAGGAGCCTTCTTTATGGCCTTCCCCTGCCCTCCTCCCTCTTTTCAGCCACTCCCTGCAGCAGCTAATTGTGCTCAAGTCTCTCCCATCTGAAAAACAAAAATTGTTTCTCAACCCCACTTCCTCCTCCAGCCAAAATTCCTGGGTTTTCTGCCCAGGGTGGCCTCTCTATCCCTTTTCTTTCTCTACACTTAGCCCCTCCACACTGGTTTCCTCCCCCTCATCCCAACTTCAGAAAGCTCTTGTGCCAAGGTCACTGGCAGCCTTGTGTCTTTGAATCTGGTGGCTGCTCTCCAGGCCTCATCTTAGCCCTTCAGCAGCTTCCATGCAACCAGCCATTTCTTTCTTTTTAATTAAACTTTTTATTATGAAAATTTCAAACAGACATGAAAGCAGAAAAAAAAAAATGAAACCTTTTTGTACCCAAGACTGAGTTTCAAAGTTACTATTCATTCTCATTTCCTCTATGACCCATAGCTTTTTTCATGTGCTGGAAGATTGTAACGCATATTTCAGACACTCTATCGTTTGATTTATAAATACTTTAGCATGTATCTCCAACTGATAAGGATCTTTTTTTATATAATCATGATTCTGTTATAATTTCTAACTAAAGGAACAAAAAGTTCTTAATCTCTCCAACATTCAGTCTGTGTTTAATTTTCTCTGATTGTCTCAAAAATGTTGGTTTATTGAAATCAAGATTCAAACAGGGTCCACACATCGCACTTGGCTGATTGGTCTGTTAAGTCTCTTTTAATCAACAACAGTTCGGCAGTTGGGCAGTCCTCCTCCCTTCTTAGTGCCACGTATTTGTTGAAGAAACCAAGCCATTTGTCCTAAAGAATGTTCCACAGTTCGGATGTGGTATCCTCATGGTGTTATTTAACATGTTTCTCTATTTCCCATGGGTCCTGCAAATGGATGGGTGAGCTCTGGGCTTAATTAGAATCAGGTGGAAATTTGTTCTAGTTTTGACAAGAATTCCTCATGCCAGTCTTCTTGAAACCCTCTCCTTGTTGGCCTGCAGGACAACACACCCCACCTCTGGCTGCTGTCTCTCAGTCTCCTTCACTGGCTTGCTCCTGGGTCCTCACCCTGATTCGAGGCTCTGGGCTGGCCAGCCTGTCTGTGCCCTCTCCTCTTGCATGGGTTCAGTCTTATCCTGAGCTGTTACTGACCAGCTGTGGATTGATGACTCTCATAGGGATGCCTTGCCTAGAAGTCTGACATCTCCCTCAGGGGACCACCTTCTTGGCCATGCCTCATGCCCATTCCATCTCTGTGTCTTGTGGGTTCCACCCCCTAAATCTCTCTTCTCCCCATCCCTTCTGTCTCTCTCTGGACAACTACTGTAGTCTACTGTGGGTCTCCACTCGGCAGTGGCGTGTTCCAAAATACAAACTGACCATCCCTGCTTTACCCCTTCTGAATCAAGTCCTGGTCCTTCCCCTGGCTTCAGGCCCTGGCCCTGGCCTCATCTCTTGGAGCCTCGTTCCTGCCCTTTAGGTTCTGGCCACATGGCGCTGCTTGTAGCTTCTTGGACACATCGTGCAGTTTCCTCCCTGGGGACACTGCATCATCTTACCCCTATTTCTTTTGTCTGGTTAGCTCTTTATTCCCTGCGTTGACTGAGACAGTGCCTCCTCCAGGAAGCCTTCTTGACACTCTTAGACCAAGGTTGAACATTACAGCCCAACTGGCCAGTAGCTTAGGGGTTGAGCAGGTTCGGGGGGGTGGGTCGGTCAGGGTACCCTGGGCCTTACTCTTAAAGTAACACCTATGATTCTGTCATCCTTGGGCTGGACCCTGCTTCTAACAGACATCCCATACTCTCCTGGCAGCAACGAGTTTAGCAGGCTGGTGGCCGGGGAGTACCTCAGTTTCTTCGACTTCTCGGGCTTGACTCTGGACCGAGCACTCAGGTCAGTGGTGCTGGGATGGGAAGTGTCCACAAGGGGTACAGGCTGCACATCTGGATTCTCATGTCAGCTCTACCATAAACTTGCTGTGCAGCCTTGGGCTAGTCTTTTGACCCCCTGGTGAGGCTGTGGGGAAGAAGCCACAGGAGCAGCAGCAGTCCAGCAGTTGGGCGAGTGCCCCCTCTGTGGTAGCTGTTAGATGTGAAGAGGGTGGAAGTATAGCCTCAACTCTAGGAGAGGAAGGGAGGCGCAGGACTTGCCTTTATTGAGCACCTCCTGCCTGCAGGATGCTCCAGGTCTTTACTCACCTTGCTCACGCATCCTCAGTACCCCTGTAAGGTAGACATTATCATTCCTATTTTTTCAAATGAAGAAACTGTGGGCCAGAGGGGTAGAGACTTCCTCACTGTCATTGAGGGAGGAGATGGTAAAATGGGATTTGATCTCAGCTCTGTTGGTATTTGGACCCAGGGAGTAGACCTCAGGAGGGCCAATTGCAGGTTCCACGGAGCAGGAGGGTAGAATGGATGGGTGCAGTCCTGTAGTATCTGGGAGGCTCTGGTGGCAGGGGCTGGCTGGGCAGATACTGGCCAGGCCCTAGGAGAGATGGATTCATCTCGGAGCTCAGGGGTGGGGTGATTCATGCATGTTAGACCTTTTTACTGTGTTCCACGTGTCTCCTACACTTTAAAAAAATGTAATTTCTGGTTGGGCATGGTGGCTTATACCTGTAATCCCAGCACTTTGGGAGGCCGAGGCCAGAAGATTACCTGAGGCCAGGAGTTTCAGAACAGCGTGGACAACATAGGGAGGCCCAGTCTCTACAGAAAGCAGAAAAATTAGCCAGGCATGGTGGTGCATGCCTGTAGTTCCAGCTACTCAGGAAGCTGAGGTGGGAGGATCACCTGAGCCCGGGGAGGTTGAGGCTGCAGTGAGCCATGACTGTGTCACTCACTCCAGCCTGGGTGACAGAGTGAAACCCTATCTCAAATAAACAAACAAACAAACAAAAACACACACACACAAAGTAATTTCCATTCTTTTTCCTCTGCTTCTGTTGGGATATTTTCTGTTGACCTGTTTTTACTTCATTTACTCTTTTTCTGTGTCTAATATGTCATTAACCCATTTATGCCTGAGGTTGCAATTTTCTGAATTGCAAGATCAGACCTTGTTGATGACCTTGAGCGGTAAGTAGGATATAAATAACTCCCACATGCTTAGCATTCCAATAATGGAACACTAGGCATAAATGGGTTTTGAACCCATTTAGTGAGTTTTAAATTTATTATATTTTTCATTTCTAGAATTTCCATTTTATTAAAACGTTTAAAAAATAGATTCTAATTCCCTAGGGGAATTATCCATCCTTTCCATTATTTTCTCCATCTTTCCCTATCTTTTTTTGAACATACTGCTTGTAAAGCCCTTGCTGCTGAGTCCAGTATCTATCATCTGAATCATCTGTATCTGTTTCTAGTATCTCTTTTTTCTCTTGTTTTTCTATCGTATATCCTGTCTCTTTGCATGCTTAGTAACTTTAAAAAAAAATCAGATGCTGTATACTTTGTATAGAATTGTAGTGGTTCTAGATTATTCTGTGTTCCTCCAGAGAGGGTTTACCTTGTCCTTTGCTAGGCAGTTAGAAAGGGTGTGGGGGATGCAGTCCTAATCTACTCAAGGTTGCACTGAAGTTTGGTATAGCTCAGGGTTTGCTCTGATCATAGGGTAGAGGCCCTCAGAGTTTTCTACTGGGAGCCTGGGGTGTTGAGTACGGCAAACCCCCTTGCGGGCTCTAAAGCCTAATTTTGTCTTCTCAGTGCAGCAACACTGCCCCCCACTTCAACAACAACAAAAATCCCTCTACTTCTCAGAGGGCCTGCTTAGCCTTTTAGCTTCCTGCCTTTTGTATCTTTTATATCTCTGAAATTCAGCAAATATCTCAAAGGGAAAAGTGGCCATGTGTTTACAGCCCTTGAAGTCTCCAGCTTTTGATTCCACCCAATGCACTGCCTCTTGCCTGTGCCCATAATCAGCAATGCCCCCAGGGAAAAAGCAGCCGCAGAAGGGTCAGACTACCTCTCTGCAATTCTCTCCCCTCCAGAATCTTGGCCCTTTTGGTCTTTGTTGCCTCAGCAATTTTCCCATAGCTTAAGAAAACTCATGGTGTTTATTGTTCTCAGTGGAAGTGTTGGTGTGCTGCAAGCTACTGTATCCTGAGCTGAGTTGTAAAGATTGCACCAGAATGAGGAAGATTGGTCAGGGAAGGGGCTCATTGGTTCAGCTCATAATCGGAGATACGGGTGCTGGACTGAGTGCCTTGTATGCCAGCCCAATACTGACACTCAACTGTGCAGGCACTGGGGAGCCATAGAGGTACTGGCTGTAAAGCAACATTCTGGGAGCCAGCACTGATGCCAGTATACTGGTGGCCTTTGATCTAGAGGCGTGCAGGCTTCTAAAGAGGGTCAGGTGGGAGAGAACAAGCATGAGGTTGGGCAGATGGGAAGGGTTGATGAGAGAGGCTGCACAGAGGGTAGAGTAGAAGGGCTGGTGGTGCCAAGATGTGGGAGAGGATGGGCAGTGGTGAGGCTGCCCCTAGGGACAGCCCGAAAGTTTGGTGGTGGCGGTACTGCTCTGAGGCACTGAATAGTGAAATGCCTGTTCTGTCCAGGGTGTGAACGCAGCAGGCAAGTGCCGGGTTGGAGGTACAGGAGGGTAGTCTGGGCAGTGAACATGGCCATGACATGAGGAGCCTGGGTGCTATTCTGAGGGTTCCAAGGAGCCAGTGATGGGTTTTAAGCAGCAGTGAGTCCTGCCTGCGTGTCTATTTAGAAAGACAACTTGGTGTCTGCAGGGAGGAGGTACTGGGTGCAGGGGTGGCCCCGTTGTCCTGGGTACATGATGAGGGTGGTGGCAGTGATGGAGAATTAAGGTTGAGGTTGAAGAAGAAACTGTCAGGACTTGGTGGCAACCCAGACTTGGGGTGGGGAAGGCAGGAGTGGGGGGATAGGGTTGGGCATGGGTCTCAGCCGCGGCACATGAAACAGAGGGAATGACCGGGGAGGAGTGTTCTGAAGGGCAGATGTGGACAGGGCCCAGCTGTAGGGGAGGGAGCAAGGAGTGGGCATCTGCCCTGAAGAAGGGCTGGTGCTGAGGTGCTCTTCTGTCTTTGTTCTTCACCATCTGTCCTCTGCCTACTTCCAGAAGGTAGGTCCCTGGAGGGCGATGAGGACTGAAACTCTAAAGCTTACCAGGTCCTCTGGCCTTAGCACTCCAGAGGCCATCCTGGGGGCCAGGGCTTCTGAGTGTGGAGAACATCCAGACCCAGAGATTGGGGCACTGGAGCCCTGGCCCCCTGGGGCAGGTGTGGTGTGTGTGTGTGTGTGTGTAGGGGGGTGGTCTAACCCTGGGTGAGGATTCAGACTGCCCTCAGCAGCTTTGAATTGCCTTCCAGAACATTCTTGAAGGCCTTCCCGCTGATGGGGGAGACACAAGAGCGTGAGCGGGTCCTCACACACTTCTCCCGCCGGTACTGCCAGTGCAACCCTGATGACAGCACCTCAGAAGGTATGGCCCCCTGCCCACTCTGCCCGACCCTCCCCACCCACTCAGCCAGGCCCTGGCCGCCTCCCACCCCGGTCCACCTGGCACTTCAGTCCCACTGCCAGCCCAGATGGTTTGTCCTCTGCATGCAGTAGGTGCTCAATGAATGCTAATTGAATAAACTATGGCACAGGGTATGCCTGCTTAGCAAGGCACAGTCTTGCCTGTTCTCCTCCCCACTGCCTGGAAGTCCTCCAGCCTCGGGATTCAGTCCTGTGGCTCTTCCTTCTCCTGCAGTCCCTGTCGTGGTGCTGACTGTTGGTGTGGTGGCTGTCCCGGTGTGGTGGAGGTCTAGGTCGGAGTCCTCTTAGGGACAGGGCTTGCCCAACAGATGGGCCCAAGTCCCAGACTAGTCCCATTATTGGGAGAGACACAGGCCATGCAGGGGCAAGGCTGGGGGCTTAGAGCCATTCCTCAGTCTGAGGTTCAAGGTAAGTTTGGCCGCAGGAGGCAGGAGTCCGGGGCAGAGTGGGTCCAGGGTGGTCAGGCTCCTGGGGCAGGCATGTGACTTGGGCCCTGCAGTGGGGGCGGACCAGGGGCATCACGCAGTCCCTGTCCTCTGAGGTGAGTTTGGCAGGTGGCTGGCCTCCCTCTGCGTCCAAGGCTTCCTGGCGGGTTCTGTCAGCAGACGGGGTGGGAAGAGGTTGGGTCCTCACACTGAGAGTGCCACTGTCTGTGACTCAGATGGGATCCACACGCTCACCTGTGCCCTGATGCTGCTCAACACGGACCTGCACGGCCACGTGAGTTGGGGAGATGGGGAGGGGGTCGCGTGTCCTCTCAGGGACCCATCTTGTGTTGATTCCAGCCCCTTCCTGAGACCTCTCAGTGGCCAGGTTTCTTTTCCAAGCCCAGGGGATTTGGGCAGCTTGGCTTCTAGATTTGGCCTCACCCTAGTTTCATCCCCCAGCGATCCGCCTGAGTCCTCACCCCCATTTAGGGCAGTGAGGGCAGCTGGGTCATGGGAGTTTAAGATGAGCCACAGATGTGTGCTCCTTGTCCAAGCTAAGAGATCATGTGCCCTTTTCGCCCCTGTCCCGCAAGCCTGAATGCAGCCCATGGCATTGAAATACCATGCCCAGGGCAGCCCCTCCCAACCCCCCAGCCCCCACCAGGCCAAGCAGTGAAGTGACTGGTGTGGGGTGCCCAGGCTGTGAGGCTGTGTCTGGTCCAGGCCCGAGGCTGTTTCAGTGCTTCTGTGGCTCAATAACTCCTTCTTCCTTCCTCTGTCTGCTCCGGGACCCCCTCTGGGCTCTCTTGCCCTTGCAGGTGGTAAGTGTAGCTAGTGGTGTGCATGCCCTGTGTGCCAAGGCCCCCCTCATCATGTCGCCTTTCTGTGTCCCCCATCACCATCTGGCTCCACCCAATCACTGCCCCATCATTGCTCACCTAGGGTGGTTGGAGCCCCCTGCTAGGTAGGGAATAGCTCAGTGACTCGGGGACAACAGGCCAGCATGTTAACCCGGAAGTCCAGGGGATATGGTGGTGAAAGAAGGAGCTGGGATAGACCCGACTTCAGATTCTACTCTTGCCTCCATGTGGTAGCTGTGTGACCCTGGGCAAGCACTGGCCCTCTCTGAGCCTCAGGATCTATATCCGTGTGGCGGGAATAATGATCTCCCCGCAGTGTCCTGGGCAGGACTGAGAGGTAATATACACGGCACCAAGGGGCAAGGTCTGGCGCCTAGTAAGGATTTTATTATGAAGAATATTGTTACAGAAAAAGGACAATAGTATTTCTCATTACTGTGAAAATTGAAATGAGGGCAAGCTGGAAGACCCAGCCTGCAGACCCCTGGAAGGTGAGATTGTGAAGGCCCAGTCTGCTGGTAGCCTGGGCTCATGAGTGCATGGGGGCACCTGACTTGGGGAGGGCCAGAGCCTCAGTGCCTGTGTCAGGAGGAGCAAATGTGTGACAGCTTTGGCCAAGTCCACTTGGGCAGGCAACCTAAGTGTGGAACAAGAGAGAAGATGCGTTCCTCATGAATGTCATCTAGCGCCAAAGCCCACGAGCCTGTTGATGTTTCCCCAGACTGCGTCCTCTGTTTATTGACAGCGAGCAGGTGTTGCTAGCCTGCTTTAAAAGGAGCACTCAGCATGCTCCTCACTCCCCGTCCCCACCCCTGGCTGGGCCTGTGAGCAATCTCAGGACTGACTCTGCTGAACCAAGCCCTGGCTGCCCCTCCCTATGGCTAAGAGCTGCTAAGGAGGGCGGCAACCACTGTCCAGTGAACCCTGGGCCAAGAGCATCCCAGAGCTTGATGGGCCTTAGCTGGCGTGGTCCCATATTGATGCCACAGCTGGGGAGAAATGTCAGCACTTCATAGATCAGAAGTGGGCTGGGAGGACTGTTCATGTTTGCAGCCAACAGACACTGAGGATTTCATCTCTCTCTTTACGCGGTACTGCTCAGAGATTGGGAGCGCAGGTTCTGAGGCTGTGTTCTCTGCTGCTCCACACAAAGGCTGTGTGGCCTGAGACAAGTTACTTCATTGCACCTCAGTTTCCCCATGATAAAGTCCCAGTGTATAAAGAAGGGAAGTAAGGCTCACGCCCAAGGTCTGGCGGTTGCAGTTACTGGGAACTCTTGAGAGCACCTGATGCTTTGCACTTTTCCCCTTGCCTCCTTCTCTGCCCCTGTCATTCATCAAGCAGGGACTGAGGCCTGGTGGGTTGTGGGGATCTCAGGAACAGGGGCCGTGCTGGTGCCCACAGAAAGAGCTCTGGTCGGACCGGGACGCAGTAAGGGGCTGTCGGGCTGTAGGCATGCTCCTGAGATAAGCACAGTCTGGTTGAGGAACTGGGGAGGCTTTGTGTAGGAGGGGCGCTGGGACCCTCGGGTTGGGGGCTCAACAACAATCCTGTCTTCTGAGTGCCTTCTGTGTTCCATGAACAAGACAGGAAAGGGAGCCCGTCTGTTGCAGGAGGTGGACAGCACAGAAGTGAGCAAGCGATTACAAGCAATGCTGGTTCCGTGAAGGGCATACACAGGAAGGCGTGGTGGGGTCTGGACTGGGGGTCAGGGAAGGCCTGCAAGGTTTGGGCAGAGATCTGGATCAGCAGGAGCCAACCATGGAAAGATCTGGGATCACGAATTCCAGGCAATGGGGCCAGCAGCAGCAGGCTGGTTTCTACCTTGTGGCTGTTGGGAATAGCGCGGCTGTGAACATTCGTGTACAAGTTTTCATTTGAACACCTGTTTTCAGTTCTTTGGCATTTCTACCTCGGAGTGGACTTTCTGGGTCATATATCTGGTTGTTCTGTGTTTAATTTTTTGAGGAACTGCAGAACTGTTTCCATAGTGGTGTTAGGTTATGGTGCAGGTGGGAGATGATGGTGGAGTGGGTAGGCTGAGTGGTGAATGTGGAGAGCAGGGACTGATGAGGGACACCTTTCAGGACTGAGTCTCACAGGACTTGCTGATGGGGTTGGTCAGTGAAAGAGAGGAGCAAGGGTGCCTTTGGCGTCTGGCTAGCTGGGGGTGCCATTTCCTGAGATGGGGAAGAAACTTCTGTGTAGGGGTGGCAAGTGGGAGAGGCAGACTTGAGTCCTGCTTTTGACCCGTGTTTGAGGTTTGAGATGCCTCTGGACATCAGTGTGGGGAGCCAAAGAGGCGGCGAGGTGGATGAGTCTGGGCCCAGTTTGAAGATGGAGATGGGGTGGGGTGGAATTCAAAGCTATGGGGCTGGTTGATTGCCATGTCCCTGCAGAGAGTATAAGCTGATGGCTAAGTCCAGGGGCTCAGTGCTACATAGAGGCCAGGCAGAGGAGTGGGAGAGACTGCACCGCATCTGGGAGGTCGGAGGAAACCCAGGAGTATGTGGCATTTCTGAAGTCCAGACAAGACAGCATTTCGAGGAGAAGGGAGTGAGTGGCCAGCTGTATAAAAGGCTGCCATGAGGTCAAGTAAGGTGACGGCATGAGAGTGCCCTTTGGGGTTGGAGCGGTCGTCGGTGGGCTAGTCAAGGTTACTGGAGACCTTCTGAAGAGCACCTTAGGTGGAGTGGAGAGGACAGCTGCCAGGTTGAAGTGGGTGAGGTGAGTTCAGGACGTGAGGGTGTGGTGGCCAAAGACACCTCTTGCGGTGTTTGGCTTTGTGTGGGGGCCTGACAGGAGCCGGCGGTGAGTCTGATGTTAAAACAGCCCAACCTTGTGCGTGTGCCACCAGGATCAACTCAGCAGAGAAGACGCTATCACTGCAGGAGAGAGAAGTCACCAGGGAGTACCATGGGACAGCTGGAAAAGCCTAGGTTAACCGAATCAATCTCTGTGGCAGGAGGAATGAGGTGACCCAGGGCCTAGTCCTGAGCTGGAAGGTGGGGTCATTCTTCCCTACCCACACCTCATTGCTAATACATAATAGGAAAGAGGTTTTGGAGAGAAAGAGCCACAGTGTCTATTACAGGGACTTTGAGGCTTAAGGGAAAGGAAAAGGTGTGCCATGGTCATTTTGGAGGTTGAAGAGCAAACACAGGAACTGTGGCAGTGTCAGGAGATCTCCATGCTCGTGTGACTGTGGTCATAGACATAAAATGGGACCTGTTAGCACAGCTGTGTGTCCTGCAAGTATATTTGGTTGAACTTGGATACAGATACAGTATAGGAAATCAGTTGGGTTTCATCAGTACTGGGCTTTTTCTAGGCAAATATGACAGAAGCAGAAAGGGGCAAGAGATAGGTTTGCAGAGAAGTGGTTATTGATGGGGCCTGGAAACTAAACTGGATAAAAAAGAAAGTGAGGTCTTTGGATCTTGTATTAGTCCATTTTCACACTACTATAAAGAACTTCCCTGAGATTGGTAAATTTGTAAGGGAAAGAGGCTTAATTAACTCTCAGTTCCACATAGCTAGGGAGGCCTCAGGAAACTTACAATCATGGCAGAAGGGGAAGCAGGTATCTTCTTCACGAGATGGCAGGAGAGAGAAGAATGTAGGAGGAACTTCCAAACACTTATAAAACCATCAGATCTCCTGAGAACTCACTCACTATCATGAGAACAGCATGGGGGAAACCACCCCCATGATCCAGTCACCCGCCTCCCTTGACACGTGAGGATTATAATTCGAGATGAGATTTGGGTGGGGACACAGGGCCACACTGTATCAGATCTCAACAGGGGATCAAAGGGCTGTTGGAGTGAGGGTTCTAGAGAATGGGGGAGGAGGTGGAAGAGCAGGAGATGGGGGTCAGGAGTTTGTATTTGAAATGGGGTTTTGGAGACGGTGCGGATGCTGGGGATGATGGGTGATGATGGGTGGTGACAGGTCAGCAAATGAGCCTGGGAGGCACCGAGTAGTGGGATGTCAGGGAATGGTGATTTGCAATCTCCTGCCATGAGGAGATGGCAGAGTGGGTTAGAATTGGAGACGGAGGCCAGGGGAGAAATTCCAGAGGTATTTTGGATGCACAGCCTATGGCACTGGTGAGTGGACTGAAGGCTGGGGTAAGGGAGAACCACCAGGGTTGAGGCAAACAAACAGGGAGGGGTGGGTGGGAGAAGTCATTCCAGGAGAGCTCAAGTTGAAACAAAGATTAGTTGTTTTTCAGGAACAGCTTAATTTCTCTCCAACCTTGGGTTGCCTGAAGAATGGCAACAGCAGGAGTTGCTGGCAAGGCATGCTGGGGATGGCTATGGGGGCTGGAGGGACAGGCCAGGGGTTTGGATGTTATCCTGAGGTCTGCAGGGGTCTGCACATTCTCAGATGGTGACAGAGCCTCACACAAGAAGCTTAAGGGGATATC